TTGCGATGCGTTCTTGCCTTTTCGGAAGTAATACAATAAAATGTGTCGGAAGTGCACGTCCTGTTCTTTCATTTTCAAATTGGGATAAAAACAAAACTAAAGAACTAAACGAAAAAAATTTTTTACTAATTAACCTAGAAGCCCATAGAGTAAGAAAAAAATATAGGTTAGATGCTCTAGCCACGTTAACAAAACAAAAGAAATTATAGAGTGAATCTGTCAACAAAAACGGCAATGACTTAGTTGCCCACAAGTACTTTGATAGTCGAACTACGTCCCCTTGACGACAGAGTCACCGTTGTCTGATATCACACTTCTAAATGGCATCTTTACTCTTCCATGGATCCCTTAAATAATGTCTAACAAAATTTAAACTGTTTACATCGTAGAAATAGCGTCAAGCAGCAACTAAGAAGTGAGGACTTCAATGATGACCTACTTCTTCTAATTCTCGGATTCGGTTTTAACGTTTTCTTTTAGCTGTTCAACGTCCTGAAATTCAACAAAGTTAGGGCCTTCAGCTCTACTATCTTCAGTCCTTTATTAGTGTGTTCTGAACCCGTGTGGGAACTGGAAAGTGCGTTGTCAACCAGGGCTACTGACATGGTACTTAGAGTAACCAGAAAAAGGCGTCCAGAATTTTTGTATGGAAAAACACTTATGTTGGCAGGAGGAAATTGCTATTTTTAAAGGCTTATGTGTGGCAGCGGAGAGAAAATTTTATGAACGATGTACGATTTCCATTGGGAAGCATGGCCTAAGCACATCTTTATTAAAGAATAGCGTGGAGATAAGGCAACCCAAGTATGGAGGAGCCTAAAGGCGTCTACGAGGCTTATGAAAGACGAAAATCAGGACCAGGAGTCATTAAGGGCGCAGCCATCTCTTCATCATGGCCACAACTCACGATTTCATCAAAGACTCATATGGTCTGATCTAGTTAATACCTGATGTCCTCCCACGGCTCATTTCTTATTGGTCCATTTTGCGTTCGGGTGTGTGTATGATTCCTTTTGCAGTCTGTAGCACATATCATTGCACAATAGTCATGCCTCGTTGTGACACTTTTAACTCTATGTTCGACTTACTTTCGGGTTTTTCGCCTTTTCAGGAAATGTGTCGTTTTGGTGGAGGTGAAATTCACTCAATTGCAGCCTTCATGGGTGGAATTGCGGCCCAAGAGGTGGTCAAACTCGTCACCCACCAGTTTGTACCCATCTGCCACCCGGTAATCTACAATGGCATCACCCAACAAATTAC